GTATTTTATTTTCTGATTTTTTTTGCCAATATGTAAGACAGAGCATTACTAACCATGTTTGAACCTGTGTTTGGGAGCAGTTCTTAATGCACAGTGGCGAAGTGTGTGCAATGCACACTACAATAAGCAAAATGGCTTTTTAATGGCTATGTTGACACAATAAATGAGTTACAGCTACTTTTTGTGGGCTGCTATCTAATGGCCATTTGGAGTTTTGCACCAGATCTAATATAACTTGGGTGTATATGTAAGTCTGATATAGGTTGGATAGTACATTTCAGTACTTGAAAATAGTTGCATACAGATAAAAGCTATTATAATTGCTATTAAAATAAAAAATATAATAAAAACTATTATAATTGTGCCATCTATTTCCGTTTTACCAAGAAAAAATAGTGTCTCAAATTACTTTTCTCTTAAAAATTAGCATAGACAGAAATATTGCTTTTCAGACTTGCATGCTGGAGTTGTTTCTTAGTTTCAAGGAATGTTAAGGCAGTACAAAATGTCATCATTCCAGTTAACAGTGTGCCAGTCGCTTAAGAGAAGCTGGCATTCTTAATAGTATTTAATTTAACAAGTAGAGAGGTAGAGATTATATAAAACAAAAGTATTTTAATATTCTCTACGAGAATTTATTTATTCTAAAGTTCTCTCTACAAAACTAGACTTGTAATATATAGAAATGCGCATTTCCTATAATGTTCTTATGTAAATGACTAAATCAAAATACTGAATAATAATATTGCTTGTATTTTCAAACCTTGTTTTTAACCTTTACTTTTAATAAAAGTTAAAGGACATTGGAATTAATTATACTCTCAAGCGGGCTTGTTTGAGTTTCTGACCTACAATCACTGTCAATTTTTAAGTCCCTGACTCCTTTTTTCTTTTGATCCTCTTTTCTACAATGCTATTTGTATTGTGGTAAAAAATGGAATAATTTTGCAGGTATGGCCTAGGAAAAACACAATCCTATATGTATTTTTCAAAGTAAATCCATTAGCTACAGTAATGTCTTACGATTGAAGTTATAATTTCTCAGTATCATAACATGAATATGATTAAATAATCATACTGTTTAATATATGTTATGTTGCATATTATATGTTTTGCTTCTCAGCAGCATGGAACTTTATCTTGAAGTTCTTCTTGAAACTATGATAGAAAAACCTTGTGAAAATATGGTGTAGTAGTTTTGTAGTGTGTTCTCTTCATTAACATTCTGTTGGCATTTTTATGTTCCCTTGCCTGAGTTTTTTTGCTGTGCTTTTGTTCTTGTATGAATAGATCCTGTTGAAAGCCAAAGTGGAGGAGAAAATTTTTCAAAGGGTGCATGAATCATTACACAGTGGGACTACAACAAAGTATCCAGACAGCTCTACTCACCAAACTGTTCAAAGTTGACTATTAAACTTTTCAGTTTAAGGTATGTATGGCTTTTTTAAAGGGCTGATATATGCATAGATAAGTTATAGTAATCAGTCTGTGCTGTAAATAATGTAATAATTTAACTGGGTACCATTGATTAGTTGCATAGATAGAAGAAAGTTGTCACACAATAATTACAACTGAAATGTCAGGTTCAGTAAAGATCTTTTGCCATTTTTCTAGTACTTTCTGATTTTCATACCCAAATAAAACTTAAGAAACAGTATATAAATCAGTAGTTATTGTTTATGGTAAAATTAATATTTATTAAGAAATTGTGCACATACATTGAAATGTATTCAAACCTAATTAATAAGATATATTCCAACTGTTAGAGACTACTTTTTAGTTTCACAGTGTAATATTTTGTAAGGTATTGTGGAAAACTGTTAAGTACTTTATCAGGATAGTCAATTAAAACTAGAAACAAAAAAAATATTACATAATTTATTCCTTAGGCCAAAATAAATTGATGTGGAACTTAAATCTTAACACTTATATAGGGCTAAAATTTACCATCTGTGAAATAAATCTGGGCTGAGAGGTTAATATCTTGAGCATTTCTATGCAATGAAATGTGTGAGGTAATATGTATGTTAAGAGTTTGTAATATTACATAATAAAACTGAAAATACTGAAAGAAGCAGGGATCTTTGTCATTATTATTATTATTAGATTTTTATTTCACCTTTAAAAAATACATATTTCTGTCAACTCAAGGCATAGTTTGAAAAATAAATGAAAATGGATATTTTGTTATCTCTTTAAAGCATTATGACAAAGGAAGAATCTTATAGGGAAGAGTTTAGTTATGACAGGATGCCAACTTTGGAACGTGGAAAAAAACAAAATGGAAGTTATGTTCCAGATATTCCTAGCAATCTTCAGCTCTCCAAAAAAAATCATCCTTGTTTTTTTTATAAAACATGGATTTATTCATTGCTGATGGGGGTAAGTACAATAAGTTGTTCAGATCTATCTTAGTCTAACTAGTTACTGCTTTCGTGTACATGGAAAACAAACATTATTACATTATCATCTACTCGGTTATACACAGATTAGGGCTATGTGCAGTCCTTCACTTAAAATAAACAGTTTTCAAAAAGGATGATTGCAACTCCTAGTAAAAGCAGAGAGTTCCTTGTCTGTTGACTAAAAGGGAAAAAAGCATCAAAAAGAAAAAAGTATGTCTGAATACAGGGGTTCCTTTTAGCACTCGTTACACCCTTTTTGTATTCTTTCATGTGGCATTACCTTCAAAGAAAGTAATAGGCAAAAGTTTGCTTTCAGCATGTCAATGCAATTTGGAAATATAGAGTGCAGTTTTATCAGAGGGCAGTGCTGCCTATGAATTATTTCCATGATGAGACATTAAAATAAACATAAAAAAATGTAATTGCAACACAAATGCAATTAGGCTGATCAAGTTCTAATCACAGTATTCATTCTCACAGTTCTCCCCCACCAAGAAAATGGGTGGCCCTTATTATCCACAGTTCTACTACCCATGGCTGCACCTTTCACTGACTAATAAAAATAGACAATACTTATGATCTATGTTGATGGATTAGTTTGGGTGTGTGGTTTCAAGATTCTTGAAATCCTGTGGTTTCAGGATTCTTGGGAGTCTTAATATATTTTATGCATGCAGGGAATAGCATCTGTATGCTATTAAATCTCAAGTTTATTTGTGTTTTTGTTATGTTTGATTATTAGGCTAGAGCAGAACCCATGTCAATAACAAGGAACACTATTTCTAGATAAAAGATAAAGATAAGAGTTTTCTTTAATATAGATGAGAATTTCTTGCTCTGTATATTCAATAATAGCATAAGTCGATTTGTGAATCTCGTGATGATGTTTTATGGTAAGCCTGGGATTGTTTTGAGGGGTTGAGCTTCTTGTTCTGCTAGAGTGCTTGCTGCATTCAGTGATCAGTGATATTTTCAGAAGAGACAACAACGTTTTTCCCCCCTTACTCCTTTTTTTGCTTGTTTTTAAAGTTAGAAATAGGAACGGAAGAAGAGTACTCCCAATCTCAGAAATGGGAATGGAAAACAATATTCCCCCATTTTTAACTTTCTCTAAAGCCCCCAAATTCTTTTTTATGTGAATGATTTCATATTTTGGTGGTAGAGATTTAAAAACAGGAATGGGAACAATTTCCATAGCTACTTCCATTCCCACACTTAAACCGATGATGATGAATTAAACTTGTATGCTATCCAGCCGTCAATGATTCTGGGCAGCTCACAACAATCGAACAAATAAATTATATTAAAATCAATTAAAAATAAAAGATAAAAGACGGCAAGCAGAATGAAGCGAAGGGTCTCCTTTGTTCCAGCATCTTCCTGGCTCTTCTAAACAAAAGCAGAGTGGGGGGTCATCTGGACCTTGGGAGATCAGAACATGCTGGTGATGATGACAACTACAACTAAGTTTGTGGGGAAAACAGAGCAATGGGGGAAGGGAATGAAAAATTGCAGCCTTATTTTGGGAGATTTAGGTTCCAAATGTCAATGAAGTGAATTTGGAGTGCTAGTGGGCTGCACTAGAATGTTGGAAGGTACATTAACAGGAGTTGCATAGTTAAAAATGCTATATAGAGAGGGGAAATATTGTTACTGTGAATCTGTATCACATTCTCAGTGTAAATGTCTATGGAGATTCTCAATCATCCAGGTCATAGTTGTCCCAAAGATGCTGCTCAAAAGGCAACTGGTCTTTCTTGTTTTTTTTTCTGTCTTTCTTTAAAACATTTTGCTTCTCATCCAAGAAGTTTCTTCAAGAACTGAAGAAGAACTGAAGTTCTGAAGAACTGAAGAGTGCAGTTCTTGGATGAGAAGTGAACCATTTTCAAGGGAAAAAAACAAAGTCCAGTTGCCTTTTGAAAAACATATTTGGGACATTCTCAGTGTATTTTTTCATATGTATTCTTTCTTAGTGAAATATGAATACATTTACATTGCTGCCAGATATTTTCTCAAATGTACATAGTTGCTTAGTTCTATGATTATATTAATCAATATATTGCTTGTCATATTTTTATATTTCAGACTTGTATTCTTGTTACCTCTGGATTTTCCCTTTACTTGGGGAATGTTTTTCCATCTGAAATGGATTATTTGCGCTGTGCAGCAGGTTCAGTAAGCATTCTGCAGCATTGCTGTGGCTCCATGGAAATGTGAATTAGAATTGCAATTTAATTACTTAATGTTCATTAAACTTTACACACGTATGTCCAAAACTCTGTATTGAACATTATAATGGCAACCTGAACATGTATATCTTTTTTAGCTTCCTAGCTATTGATCATCAATAAATTATTTACCATAAAATTACTGCATTTTTACCAAGTAAATACATTTTTCACCCAAGCAGATATAGAGTAATCCACAATAAAAATTGAATTATTTTATATATGCATTTTAATTGAAATAAGTCCTGCAATTGAAATGCTATTATTAGCAATTTCAGAAAAAAAATCAGATTGTTTTCCCCAATTCATATAAATGTTCTCTGATTTCACAAGAAATTAGAGGTGGTAGAGCCGGTGTTTGTTCTAGTTGTACAGTGGAATATTGCTGAGTATATTTTGTTGGATGAGAACTTAATGGGAGTGAAGTTTTACCTTCAGCTGTTTTTGAGCTGAGAAGAAGGGTTTTTGACTTTTTGCTATAGCCCAGGAACCATTCACTCTAGGTTGGAATTATACATGTATTAATGACAGGCCTCATCTACAGTATATTCTTTTCATAGAATACCTATAAGAACTGCAAACTTTCCATTGAAGTTAAAGATTGTTTTTTTTTTGTATTTTCTTGGTATCATTACATGGATTCTTGCAGCTCAGATAATTAACATATGCACACACATACACCTATGTGTGTGTATGTTTACCAGTAGTCTCTTTAAATCATCACATAATACATAAAATCTCAGCAGGTGGCAGCACTTTCCTAAAGTTGTCAGGGTAAGCAGAGTCAGTCCTGTTTATGACTGCTTTGGAAGACCACCAGAGAATCCTCAGGTCACAAGCTGGACCGGATGTTGAAAAATATCCTGGAGTACAACATTCCAAGGTTATGTCCATGTAGCCTCTAGGGCAGGGCTGTCAAACTCCTGGACCACGGGCCGGATGCGTCACATGCTGGCCATGCCCCTGCCTGGTTTAGCGAAGGGGAAAAAAGTCCCGGCCGTGACAATGTGAGTTTGACACCCTACTCTAAGAGATGCGTTTGTCTTGAGGGTGTCTTTATTCTTAAGGTGCAAAAGTCCACAAGAACATCTAAATTATATTTTTTTATTCAAAACTTTTTGTTAAAACAGCCTTACATAATTTTTAAAGATGGTATCTTATTTTATTATTGTCCCCACCCAACTTAAATGAGTGATTCAAGATTTCAGCAGTTGAAATAGAACTTGATTTTTCTATCATATTAAGTAGCACACTAACATGAAAAATATATTATTTTTTAAGTTGTTTTCTTAATGTTTTTGGTCTAGTGTATTCCCTCAGCAGCAGTGGCTTTTGCTATAGCCAGAAACAAAGCTAATGTGGTAAGTTCTTTAAGTTTAGAAGGTTGAGTAACCCATTATTTATGTATTATTTTAATTAAATAAGAAATGTAATATTTTTGCCATTTTTACAGATACCTGATTTTCAGTTTCTATTTGTTTCAACATTTGCGATTACAACAACATGTTTAGTTTGGTTTGGATGCAAGCTTGTCTTAACGCCTACAGCAATAAATGTGAGTTACAAACAACAAATATGGAACATTTGAACAAATCAATTAAGCGTATCAAAAGATTTGCTGTGCATTTTGTGATAATTAGATAAAGTCTAGATAAAATATAATTGTTGCATCCACTTGTATGTTTCATTAAAATTAGTTGAAGTTAGCATGCTCATAAGCATTTTTATATACATTTCAATTGTATTGAAGCATGACTAATTTTCTAAGCCAGACTTTCTGCTCAATATCTGATTTCTTTGCCAAGTATAAACTTTTATTATTTTACTTGCAGATGAGTTAATGGGCTGGGGTTGTTTTACTACAAATTATTATTTGTATTTGAGGGCCAGTGAAGAAAGATGGTCCATAACATTATGTGTGGTCCAGCTCATTAGAGGTTTTGCTGATAGTTTTGCAAATTATGGGTTGATATTAAGACCTTCCTTTTTCTCCTCTGCTGGTTCCAAGAGACTATTTTAAATCAACCTGCCTAACAAAAGCAGACTTGAGTCCTTGGGACATTCTTTGGAAAGTCTCTGTTCATTAGGCTTGAAAGTGCCTGGAGTCATTTAAAATAATGTATTTAGTTTAAACCCAATATCTAACCCTACAAGTTTATGGATTCTCCTCTAATGGCCATGTGCCATCATCTTACCTCTCTTCAATTCAAATTCTGAAGGTGTTTTAGACTTCCACTTTGGCCAGGTTGGATGCACTAGATGCACAGAACTCTGTAGTTCTCTGGGGATGGTATAAAAAAGACCTCCTTTTTTTATACCTTTTTGCTTATGTCCCTGAGGAGATAGATGTCTTCCCGGAATCCTTAAGCCATGTGCTCTTTTATTGCTTTCTCTATAAAGATTCAAGGAAGATATATTTTTTATCCCATTTTAAAAGTTGACTTTGGTAGAGAGCACAATATCTGTCTGATACATACTCCAGAAATCTAAATTCTGCCATCCAACTGGTTTTTAGGAAAGGCATTAAAACTTGGCTATTCCTTGGGGACAGAGATATTGAAATGTCTCACCCCGCTGCCCCCAGCTTTGGAATACGGTATTTATCTAATGTAATTAATATTACTGGTGTTCACATATGTAGATATACTTCTGATTTTTTAAATTGTAATTTTGTTATTCTTTTAATCTAAATTATAGATGATGGATATATGTGCCGCTCCAAGTTGTCAGGAGCTGGAGCAATGTATAAGTAAATAAACAGATAAATAGCATAATACTTTTGAAAACAGCCAGATTCCTTCATTATGCTAAAACATATACAACAATAATTTTATCAATACACTTACATTAATATAAATTATTTAAAATATTTTACTGACAGATAAATTTCAACCTGATTCTCCTGATTCTGCTTGAGGTTTTCATGGCAACTACTGTAATAATATCTGCTAGATCTAATGAGGAATGCTGCAGAAAGAAAAGAGTAAGGCTGACTTTTACCATGTATGTATGTATGTATGTATGTATGTATGTATGTATGTATTTTGCACGCTACCTATCTAGCCTGAGGCAACTCTGCCTTATTTCCACATATATTGTATACCCCTTTTTTCAAATAAGAATAATTTGTTGATTTGTATATAGTGATTTGGAGAATATATTCCCTCTTAATTAAAAATATATATAGTCAATATAATGTTCGGTCTATGCTATTGGAACTTGTTCTTTGAGTCACAGTTTCTTTAAAATATAACTTATAGAAATGTATGATACTCATTTTCTCTAATTTCTATATTTTATATGTGCATTATACTTTTGTGTACAACCATGTGACTGACCTTAAGATCCGAAGCTTGCTTCTCTCTTTTGAAATAATGCATTTTTCTTAAATGTTAAGTCCACAACCATATTGCAATTTTACAAGAAACATCCAATCTTAATCATTTTGTTGTGTATGCATTTGTTTGTGTATTTCAAACCTCACATGAAACATCTGTAGTTATGCTAACATATATAGATATATAACTTAATGTCAGTGCATTCTGAAAATATTATAAATGATCTTTATTTTGCTCATAATTATGCATTAGAATAAAGTCACATTTTTAATAATACCTTCTACTTAACCAATCAAGAGTGAATCCAGAGGTGCCTTACGTGAGGCAGAACACTTATTCTGCAAGGGAAAAAATAAAAAACTTCAGCCCAAAGCATTGAGAAATCTTTTACAAAATGTATCAGTATTCATTTTTTAACCAAATCGGCTAACATGTTTATGAATGTTACATACAATGGCTTGCAATACTTAAAGTATATGTTCACATTAAAACATTCTTCCTTCACTGTTTAGCCAAATGAGCTCTTAAGGTGTCATATAGCAATCTTTATTATAACAATAGCTACTTGAGATTTACAATTTTAAAACAGGTAGAGGAAGAGAAAGGAAAGGGCAGGGAAAGAAGGTCAGACATCTTTTGAAAACAAAAATCTTATTTAATCTCTGTTCAGCAGAAAAGAACAGTTCAGCTTTCTGGAATGGCTGCCAATTGAGCAATATAAGGTAGCTATGAAACAGCTTCTGCTGCGCAATGATTTGGGATAGTTGCTATCAGATGAGAGGGGGGAGGGCAACATAAAGTTATAAAAGCCAATTCCATAGTGTTCCTCTAGGTTTTGTGAAACAGTTTTTTTGAACAATCTACTGCAACAATTTATTAGGTTCATTTCTGAATATCCAGTTCTGTGTCTTAATTTTGTCCCACATATTTTTTTTCCAAGACTGTGATTTCAGACTCTGAATAGACATCTAATCTTAAAGAAATGACTAAAAACATAAACATACAGACTAAAAACATTTTTCATAAAAAACATACAGTTCTGATTTGAACATTCATCGGAGCCTTCTGAAGACTATAGGTGCAATTTTTATTTATGTATTGATGATGAAGATGAAGAATGGATCGTGTTCCTATTTACCACAAAACATGAATATGCACAATGCCATGATTTTAAACATAATCCTCTTTTTTCAATATATGCATATTATATGGTAAAACCTTAACATTATAATTCTGTCAATAGCTTCAGTAGATTGATTGTTAATGTTTGATATTGTTGATTTCTTATTTTGATCATCTTTTCCCTTTTAGACAGTTATTTATGATACTACTAGCACATTGAATAATATCAATTTCCCAGTACGGATTCTAAAATCTTATTCGGTAAGGAAATTGTATTATCTTTCTGAAGCAAACTTCTAGGACTTTGTTACTATAATCAATTTCCAATCATATATATTTTTTTTTAAGGTAGTAGAAGTAATTGTTGGAATTTCTGCAGTGTTTGGAGGAATAATTGCCTTGAATATGGATGTGCTAATTTCTGGCCCGTACCTTTCGGTCACTTTTTTTTGGATCTTAGTTGCTGTAAGTAGCACTCAATTGAATATAGCTTAGTTTTATTTTCATTGCAAACTATTATTAACAACAAACAGTTACTATCATATTCTTTTATACTATCTATAAACTACCTTTAATATTTTCCAATAATTTGTCTTTACAAATATAATTGGAGTATCCCAGTGTATCTCAGTATCCCAATCAAAAGGGATCCTTACCTTTTGTAGGTAGTTTCTATCTATTTTCGATTTACTTGAAACTCTTGTCGCAGGTAAGCAGTGTGGGGTGCTTCAGCCGGTGATGGAGACCCTGGGAAGTTGGCTCAGGAACTGAAAATCTTCCACTCCAAAATTCAGGCAGGCTTTTCAGCCTTTGAGCAAAGACACAAACGTGTGGCCTGCACTGGGCCTTCCACCACCACCCTGTCCCACCTGCCCGAGGCAATCCACATTCTTTACCTTACTGCCTTGCCATGCTTGGATTTTGGTTCCCTCTGTCTCTGGGGGCTGACTGAAAGAGATGCCTTCCAAAAAAGTTAAACTTCCTTTCCTGCATTCATGCTTGGAAGAGAACTCCTTTGGTGGAATGCAGGAATGTAGTGCAGAACTTTAATATTTGAGTTCTGTACTGTTAGATCTGAGGTGGATCGGGTCGAGTGAGACGCGAGACCATTCTGTGATTTCAGCTCTTTATTTGCAATAAGAACAGTCTGAAGAATACAAGCCGCGGCAGCCCTTCATATAGGGCTGGCTCGCGGCTCGACGGCCAATGGCAGCGCTTTGAATCTCCCGCGATTGGCACAGCCAATCGCGGTAGCTTAGCGCTCCAATCACGGCCGGGGTGTCGACCAATCAGGTCGTTGTCTGTCGGGACCAATCGGTTTCGAGGGTTTGGAGTATGCTAATACAGCACACCCCTCCCCTCTTGGTTTCGTCTGTCGGTGCGTCGTGACGTAGTCGCGCAGGTAGGCGGGTCTCCGTACCTGTCTCGTTGACTTGCGCAGATCAGTTCTTGTTTGGTTGTCGACCGGTTCGGAGGCCTTCTCTGTTGCTCTGGTTCCCAGGGATGGAACCGCCTGGAAGGTCAGGCTGGGCCTTTCTTGGTAGCTCCTTCCCGGTCTACCCGGGCTGGTTGAGTTTCTGTCTTGGCTGTTCCTGCGGGAGCTTTCCGGGCTGGTTGTGCTGGCCCGGCTGCTCCTTCCTGGTGACGTTTCTGGGGTTGCTTGTTCGGTGGGACCCTCGTTTGCTGGTGAGTAGGACTGGTTTATTTGTGGGTTTTTTGTTCCGGGTGGGGTTTGTTCGGCTTGCGCTAGGGCTAGGGGATTCCCTTTTTCTTTAACGCTTTCCGTTCCCCCCCCCCTTCTAGTTTCTTGGTAGCTTGTATGGTTGTTATCTATTCTGGACCTTAGCTGGTTAATGTGCCGTTTCCAGTGTTTCCCGTGGGTTGTTTCTAGCCGGTATGATAGGGGCCCGGTTATTTGGGTGATCGTTGCTGGTATCCATAGTGGTTCCCCCGACAGGTTTTTTGCGTATACGGCATCCCCTATGTTAAATTGTCTGTGTTTGCTGGAGGAGCCCGGGGGTTTGTCGGGGGTGTATGTGGGGTGCATTCTATCTAGCGTTGATCGTAGTTTCCTGCCCATCATTAGTTCTGCCGGGCTTCTGTTTGTGGTGGCGCTCGGCGTGATGTGTTGGATGAAGAGCAGTTTATTGATTTTGTCCTGTATATTGGTTGTTTCTATTTTCTGAATGGCCTTTTTTGTGTATTGTACCATGCGTTCCGCTCGTCCGTTCGCCGCCGGGTTTGCCGGCGCGGTTAGTGCATGGCGTATGCCCAGGCCTGCCAGAAATTGTTCAAACGCTAGTGCGGTGAACTGGGGCCCGTTGTCCGACACTATTACGTCTGGCAGGCCGTGTGTGGCAAAGAGTTTGCCCAGTTTTCTTATTACTGCCTCTGTCGTGGTTGATTTCATGGTGCTTACCTCCAACCAGTTGGAGTAAGCATCCACTGTGATGAGATACATATGCCCTTTGGTTGGCCCCGCGAAGTCTATGTGAATCCGAGACCACGGTCCTCTTGGTGTTTCTCATTCATGTATTGGGGCGGCGGGAGGACTGGGTCTGGACTCTTGGCATTGATTGCATTTGGCTACCCAGGTTTCAATCTGTTTGTCCATGCCTGGCCACCATACATAGCTTCTGGCCAGGCTTTTCATCTTGACCATCCCTGGGTGCCCCTCATGCAGCATTCCCAATACCCTTTCTTGCAATGTTTCCGGAATTACCACTCTGTCCCCCCAAAGTATACAGCCCCTTTCGGTAAAAAGTTCGGTTTGTCTGTTTCTGAAGGGTCTGAATAATTCGTCCTTGTCCCCTTCCGGCCATCCTTTTCCAACCCAGCTTAGGACTCGCGCCAGCCGCTTGTCTTTATTTGTTTCTCTGGCAATGTCTGGCGCGGTCACTAGTGGGTTGGGCATTGTCTCTATTTGGAATACCTCCGTCGTGGGAGCCGGGTCGTCTTCGAGGTCGGGCAAGGGTGAACGGCTCAGGGCGTCTGCGCGGGTGATGTCCTTCCCGGGTCGGTGAATCAGCTGGTAGTTGTATGCTGACAGGAACTCAGACCACCTTGTCATTCTTGGTGATAGAATGTTCGGTGTGGCCTTATTTCCTGCCAGGATCCCTAGCAACGGCTTGTGGTCCGTAATGATTGTAAAAGTCCTACCGTAAAGGTATTCGTGGAATTTCTTGACGCCGGCGATGACTGCTAGTGCCTCCTTGTCGAGCTGGCTGTAGTTCCGCTCTGTCACGTGCTGGGTGGTCTCTTTGTCTCACGATCCCACCCTCGTCGCCAGTGTTAGATCTGAGGTGGATCGGGTCGAGTGAGACGCGAGACCATTCTGTGATTTCAGCTCTTTATTTGCAATAAGAACAGTCTGAAGAATACAAGCCGCGGCAGCCCTTCATATAGGGCTGACTCGCGGCTCGACGGCCAATGGCAGCGCTTTGAATCTCCCGCGATCGGCACAGCCAATCGCGGTAGCTTCTTAGCGCTCCAATCACGGCCGGGGTGTCGACCAATCAGGTCGTTGTCCGTCGGGACCAATCGGTTTCGAGGGTTTGGAGTATGCTAATACAGCACATGTACCTCACCAAAGGAGTTGAGCTCTCCTGTATATGCAGAAGGGAACTCACTTGGCAGGATGGACAAATGGAGGTTGTTTCTGTAGCCTGTCAAAAGAATTTGGCTCCCCTTAGTAGGCAGTTCTATTAGCCAGTCTCCAGAGATGAGAGGGAGTCCTCTTGGCAAATGGCAGCCGGTTGCAATATTCTCTGCAGTCTTCCCTATTGACTTTCTGGGGGAAAAGCCAGTAGAGAAGACTTCAAATATGATCACATGATCATGGGGCACTTGATAACTGGCCGTACGTTTGAACAAGTTATCAAATGCCCAGGTTGCAATCACATGGTCGGGGTGGTGATGCAGTCATCTATTCCAAGGCCATGGGAATTCAAAAGCATCAAAAGATCGGTCATAAGTTGAAAACTATCTGTGGTCAGTTGAAACTTAAGATTTTAAGAATGGATGATGCTTCATTTGCATAGAGGTCAATCTATTGTTGAAAGTGGCTTCAGTCTTCATATATAATAAAGATTCGTTCTTAGTTCATCCCAGGTCAAGAGTAGAAAAGTTTCAACTAGGCATGATCTTTTCTTCCCTGAGCTGTTTGGGTACAAAAATCAAAGTTATGGATGTACATCACAAAAGGATCTGCCATTCTCTTGAAATATAGCTGTCAAGGTTTTTTATACTCTGCATTTACTCATGTTTATTTTTTTTGTCAGTGTTTTCCCAGTGCTATTGCAAGTCATGTTGCTGCTGAATATCCAAGCAAATGTTTGGTGAGTACATTGTTAAAATAATTAAATGGTAACAGATGACAGCTTCTAAATCCTTTAAACGAAAAACTGTATTAGTTTTGTGGTTTTTATCTCAAATGTATTTTCTGTTTTCATACAATGCCCAACCGGGAAACACTTTTATTTGGGAGATATATCATAAGATGCATATCGATCCAATAAAGGTGTTGCTGTACTGTTTGAGACCTTCCTTTTCATTGAGCAAAAAGTTACCTTTTTAATTTATTTCATAAAATTTATGAAGATAACTAAATGATCCATTATTGGGGCCATATGGAAAGTGATCTCACAAGAATTGCTGTAAAAAAATGGCTGAGCAGGATTTTATATAATTAAACAATGTGTTCGTACAAATATGATTAGTGGGACAAGATGGTTTAATTTTTTCATCTTCAAATATTTCAGTCTCCATTTCTTGTAACTATTTAAAATCTTAATACTTGCTTCAGTTGTTTCTTATTCAATGGACAGTTTCAGACTTCATTATTTTTATTTTCAATCTGTTCTTTTGTGTGGCTTCATTGTTATATTATTAGTTATGCATCTCTTCTATAATTTATATTATCATAAAGGCTAACAGGAAATTGTAAAAAAAAATCAAAATAACAATTGCAACAGCCTCATTGAAGCCCTGCTCTTTTGAATATTTATACAATGTAGATGCACGTACATAAGGAATGGGATTTTGATTGGGCTGCCCTGAATGCTAATTTGACTTGTTTTATTCCCCCCCCCCTTTTCCCTGACATCATTGACATATTAACAACAGGAAAACTTTAAATAATTTAATAGCATATGCAAAACAGCATTCATTGCATGCCCAGATATGTACAGACTTGCAAGCTAAGTGAAATTCTAGTCCAGTCATAATGTATATTATTGTACTTCCTTGTCATTCACTGAATGATTGCTGTCAGAATGTCAGATGAGCTTACTACTAAGTCCTAACTTCTGTTTTATGCCAATTTTTGTTTTGATATTTAATAGGTTTGAATATACATTTTAATATAATATCTGAAATATTCATCTGTTGATTTTTAATATTCATTTATCATTTTTGTATTAATATACTTAATTAAAATATTTGTGTAAATAAAAATCATAGTATAACACCTCTGATGACATATAAGAAGGCACACATTCTTTGCAACTGTATATTTCACCATTTTATCTTTAATTTAGGTGGAAGTTCTTATTGCCATAAGCAGTGTTACATCACCCTTGTTATTCACAGCTTCAGGATACTTGTCTTTCAGTGTAATGCGCATTGTGGACATGATCAAAAACTATCCACCAACAATTCAAGTATGTTTTATTTTTTTAGTTATTAATGCATAATAAATCCATGAATATTATGTATAGGTCATAATTTCTGATTTCTAATGAAATAAGTTCTATATTTATTAAAACAAATGTAATTTTAGAGCATTTTGGAACAGAAGTAGCAATTCACAGAACATGGTATATTACAAGGATTTTGGAGATTACAGTTAGAAACTGTGAGTTAGAAGCTAAAGGGACAGAAAAATCAAAAACGAAAGTTGAAAACTTATTTATATTAACTAGAAAATAATTGGCTGCAGGCTTACCAATTAATACAGAATTTTAGAGAAACTGATGGAGACCCAGTCAAGACTAGTGAACATGCAATTTATTGTTTTTGTAACATTTTAGAGATATTTATCAGTTGATTGAGATCAATTTACGTATCAACAGGGAAAATATTTGCTCGCATATTTGCATATTGCCAAAGACATTCATTTCAGGAAAGAATTTCAATCACTCACAAGTTTCTTCTTGCCAGCTGTGGTAACGTGCTAGTATTTCTAATCACAGATGTCCAATGTAAATGTTTTAGACATAAGAAACAAATGAGGAAAATGTATTCATAATTTTAAAATATGTTACTATATGAAACCTACTGCACCAAAGCTCATTTATATGGGTTTTAATGACCCTGTTAAAAAGAACAAATTGACTCTTAGTTGTCTTTCTTGGATTAAATGTACTGTGTTGCAGAATTTAGAATTCTGTAAGCAAATAAAGATAAGCCACTACTTTTATTTTCTACAGGAAATAAACTCTTCTTTTGTTTACAAAGACAAACTAAAGGACAATCTAAATGTTCAATTTAACATGTAACAGCTCAACAGCTTTTATATGTATATGCGTGTGTGTGTGTTTATAGTATATAAATATCGAGTGTGTTTCATCTTAATAAAACTCTTGCTAAGAAACAATAACAAAATATATCAAACTAGCCTTCAGAAACATGAACATTCTTAATTGTGCAACTTGAAAAATGAATGAATGATCTTTGAATCTCAATTGCCTTGTATAGAACTGTTACAGCCTAGAACACCCCTATAGAGCCAGTTTGATGTAGTCATTAAAGTTTCAGGCTAAAAACTTGGAGACTGTACATTTTAGAATTGCCTTAAGCACATTACTCTCTCTCAATCTTAGGAATCAGACAAGGACAAACCACTTTCAAAAATATAATTAAAAAACTGCAGGGACTAGTCCAGATAGTCACCAAGAATCTCAAAGGCACTAATCAATCAACCAAAATGCCTCAGCAAACATATGATTTTGAGATAGAAAAGTACATAATGTTTAAGATAATTAAAACTTGTTTTGTATATCTGTTACTTTTAGCAGTCTTACGATGTGCTACTCTTGCTTCTAATGCTGATGCTATTAGTTCAAGCTTTTCTGACAACTGGGACAGTCATACTCTGTGTAAATTTTAAAGGAAAAATGAAAATGCATGATGCATTATGGGCAGTACCACTCACAAATAAACAAGAATACGAAACAACAGAGGTGAGCAATATTTACAGATTAAATTTCATAACAGAACATTGTTAATAATTTAAATCTTATTGTTCCCCAAATTGTTGAATGTTGGTATCTACGTAGAACTTATCATAATTATTCATTAAAATATGCATAATATTTTACATCTACAATTCTTTTTACATGCATGTGTCTATATCTAGCAGAAGTAAAATCAACGTCATGTGTTTCATAGATCAATCCCAAATTTTAGTTTACTTAAGGCAGCACCCCACCCCACCCCACCCCACCCCCCGCAGTATATAGCTATGAACTTGATATTCATCCCTTGATATTGTTGTTGGTCTATTTCAGGGGTTCGTACCCTTAAGTCAATAAATCCCTTGGAGGTCCATGGGTTGATTTTAGAGGGCCCATAAACATTATTTTCATAATTATTTTATGCATTTAATTTCCTTCTTCTGAGAAGGCATTCATAGGTTCCACCAGACTCATAAAGTGGTCCATGGCACAAAGAGGTTAAGATCCCTACTATACTTCCCAATATACTTTGTTTTTCTGATATTGTCCAATTTTAAATCACTTGATTCTGAAATATTTTTTCTTGCTTAATTCATTTTTTGCAAATATCATATGCACTAAATGTTGTAGCCATTTTATTAGTATATATGGATTTTTTATGGATTATAAGAATACCTTAAATGTTACGTATAATTGTATCTAATGGCACTACATGCATTACAGTTAAAGAAATATATCTGTGCACCTATTGCCACATGTATTTATGAATCAAACAATATAAGTCAGACACTTAGATTTCTTCTGTATCTTTTTCATGTACCAGAAGGCTTGAAGCAGTACAAAGCAAAATATTTTAAAATACTCCTTAAATGCTATTTTGTAAATTGAATTGGCATCCTGAAATTTACTTCAGTTTGCCTCAGGAGGAAAGCTGACATTTGTACTTCAAAATTAGAGCAAGTAGAAGGAAAATAGTAGAAAAATTAAAATTCTCTTGCAGCCCTAATGAGGCAGATGAATTAGGGAAATATTATATTTATAATCATAGAAATATGTAATCAAATTTATCTAATTCATCAAATCATGATGCATTATTATTACAGATTCTTTTGCATTTTGTTCTGCATTCCATTCCTTGACATCTTTTTTTGTTTTAGGTCTCCAATAACAGCATGAAGGATTTTGATAAAGAGAAAGCTTGGAAAGCTGTTGTAGTGCAGATGGCTCAGTAATTTGCACTTGAGAAACTGAACCAGGGAGATTTTAGGGCTAATTAATCTTTGTTTACAAGAGCTGTGGTATTAGATGCAAAACAATTAATTTCATAGCAACTCCATTGTCCAGAATGGCTTGAAAATAATTCTTGCATCAAAATATTATCAATAAACAATAAAAGTAATAGATTGTTCTAATAGTACATTTATTCTAATAGTACATGTATTAGATTTAGCTCATATTAATTTCAGGACTTTATTTACAAACTCTGATTTTAAACAGTACCATTGTTAATTAAATATTTTGACCACATGTACAGTTAATGCAAGTAACTATGAATTAGTTTTGTTATTGCAAGAAACTAATAGAATTGCTGGTATTTGGTTGATATAAAATTTATGCAAGTTTGTAACAAATACAGTTTATCCTTAATCTTTTGCTGATTATTTTTTTCCAAGTTGAATTTGTTTTTACTTTTGGATAAAATAAAAACCTTTATTACAAGTCGGTTCTAGTATTGGATTGATGTTGCTTTAAGTAAAATCACAGAGGTGTCACAATTTCTGATGTCACTTGCAGATCTGATCACAGGAATACATAATCCTGCATTCATAGATTATACAGAACCATAGTGTGGTTTTGACATAGCGTGATCTATTAAAAAGAAAATGAATAATCATGTTGGGTTAGGGCAGAAATCCAGAAGTCATGTGGTTATTGACTGCAGCTTAGTGTGATGAGTAAAAGAAGACGTATGTTTTTGATTTACTTTTGGGTTCAATCTACTATTTTGATAAATGCTGAAGAATGTAAGGCAGAATCAGCTAAAAGAAACCAGGATTTTTTAAAACAGTGACAATTTTGAAATATGACTTGATTCTACTTTAGCCAACAACCTTGATTTAAAAATTGCAGCCACAATTGTCAATGGGAATTGGGACTGTGGAGATGTAGCCATATTTTTAGATGAGCCATTTCCTTTTTATAGTTTCTAAAGTAGTAAGTAGTTTCTTCTTTCCCAGCCTGTTCATTTTGTATTACACAATTTTATGAGGGGCTTAAAACTGAAACAGCTTCAGTGTTCAGAGTTTTTAACCTTAATTATCCATTTCTGTACCAAATCCTATTTTTGATATGATGGTCTTACAGTAGTTCAGTAAATGGTACTAAAGTATGGTAGCTGGCTGTTACAAATGTGGCAAAAAAGCTAATGTTGATAGCTGGAAAATATCTGACCCTCCTGAGTGGTTTGGACAGTGTATTATAGTAATTTATTTAAAGTAACTCTGCAAAGAAATATTTTACTAAATAAAATCATTTAACTTTGACTCTTAAGCTTTAGATTCTTCTGATGGGAGCTTTAAAAATGCTTAAAAATAATTATGTATATCAGAAGAAGAGAATATGACATTAGTGTCATTAAATTATAATTGAACAGCAATTGAATAGGAAAGAGTTCAAGAACATTTAAAAAATGGATTATGTCCAAGAAAGAGATAAAGGAATGTGTCAACCAAATGTACGCTCTAGTTTCTTTCATGGCTTAGAAGTCACTTTTGAAAAAGATAAATTCCTGGATCTCAGTCATCCATACTCCAGTGATAAGTAATGTGAGATAAGACCTTAGAAGATTAAAAGTGTCAATTGGCAAAGGTGGCCCTTCTTTATATTCTACTTTCAAATCACTGAAGACCTTTCTGATAATAATGAGAACTCTAAACTGTGCACAGAAATGAACTGGAAAGTATAGAATTTCAGTTAATTATATTATGCAAAAAGAGTAATGGTTCCTGATGGACTTTTTATTTTGTAATCATTAAAAATTACAGAAGATGCTGTGTCTATCTGATTTTTCTAAACAGTAGCAAAAATAGTAGTAACAATGGGTTCAAGTGTTCATATTGCAGCTTGCTGCTAGGTTTTATGTACTGTATATGTTCAAAAGAAAAAAAATGCCAAAAGCATCTGTAGTATCAAACTTGGTGTGGAGCTCAGAAGAATATGATTGAATAATATATACTGTGCAAAGTGTAAATCAATATATTTAAAATTTTGATGTTTATCAGTCATGAGTAAACTTAGACGAGGATATTCTTAAATATGGTCATAGACCTCTTAAATATTTAGTACTGTGCATGAATTTGATAATGAAAACCTGAATGTATACTAACAAAACAATAAACTAAATCAAAACATGTTCTGGTTTACCTTATCTTTTTTATTTTATGTTCTATCATAAATCTCTTACAGGAAATGAAAGAACCAAGTGTAGACATTTTACTCTTTTTTTGTATCAAATATTCCAAAAATATTTCTACGTGCTAATGAATTCATCTCTAATGCTGAATTAAAACTTTAAAAGAAGAATGAAGGTTTCTTAGAAATTCTGCTGCAGAAGACAAGTTTAATAATTAACATAAATAATACAACTCCAGTTACAATGATAACTGTAACTTGAAAGCTTCTGTAACAAAATCACAGTTCCTTAACAGGACATTGATAAAAAAAATTATCTAATGTGTAACATTTGATACTTGCAGTGTTTCAAAAACAATCTTAGAGTATTGCTATGGACTTACAAAGGAGTCAAGCCAAGGCTGATGATATGATGAAAAATGTTTAGATGTGTGCAATGTGGACAGTAAGCAACATGTGTTTGAAGTTGAGCTGATTCATACTTTGGTATCCTTATGTAATTGCTATTCTTTGGCCAGGGTTCTTAATACAAAACTGTCTAGCTAAATGCCTTGATTGCCACCGAAACTGATCTTAATAGCTAAAATAAATAACACAATCCAGAGTTTACCCCTTTCACAAATATGTTTGCTTGATGTACAAATCCCCTACCCACAATGCACAAGGTTGCCTGCCTACAAAGGTCACAATGGTAGTTAGGTAAGGAGCAATGCAACACTTTGTAAGGGGAGGGTTAAAGGAGAAATCTCAAGTGTCATCAAGTAGAGGAGTTCTGCTGTTTCCAGGAGGGTAAGACAAAACTGAAAGCGAATAGCCAGAATGCCAATCTAGTGGCCCTTTTGAAAGCAGAGTAAGTACTTGATAATCAAAGGAAGATGATGAAATGGAAAAGGAGGGTGGTGTCAAGCCCGAAATTGACATGTGTAGCCATTTTAGTTAGGCTTAGTATATATTCTTTTTCTTTCTCTGTGGCAGTCATGGGGGGAAGAGTTTTGGGCTTGCCACATTCCTAAGAGGGGAGGAGTGGAGATAGAGTTGTTTTGGCTAGGTAATTTTTCTTCCCGTGGGAAAATGAGCTGTCCGTGCTTAGGCCCCTAGAGGTGGAAATTTATGACATCAAGTAACGTTGAATTACTTTCTATTGGAGAATGTGACTTTGGGGGGTTGTTTCTAACTTTTAATATTGGGGGGTAATTCCGGGCTGTGTCAAATCTGGAATTACCATGGACTTTGCCAATTTGATGCTTTCCTAAATAAAAGAAATTGTCTTGGAAGAGGGACTTTGTTCTTTTCTTTTTAAATGGATTTCGTCACTTGGAAACCTGGCAGGTGGTTGACTACATATTCCTAGTATATGCATCAGAACCTTGTAAAAATGATTTAGGAGCTCAGGCGTTTCCAAACAACAAATTACACTTTGGGTTTTTTTATTCAATTCACATAAATAGTGTGGGTAAGCATAAACAGAATTTCCATTTGTTTCCAGTGATAATATGTAGTGATGATACATTTTGTCTGGAAGTAAACTAGAAAAGTTTGCCTCTTTGACAACCATGACAGACCTGTTTAAGGACTACAAGTAAAGTATATTTGATGAAAACCATATGTTTAGAATGTCACAGTTAAAACCATACATTTGGTAGTTGACAGGAAAGCTAAGGAAAAATTTAGCCATACTTAAAAAAGAAATATTTTTATATTTCATTTTCTTGAATAACTGCTGCTTATACCTTTTGGTAGAAATATACTGTAGAATTAAGGTTGTAATATTTCTCCATTGGCAGGACTGTGACAAAAGAGTGAAGCAACAATGACAGGATGAACCGGCTTCATGTAGAAAGAAAATCTAAAAGCGAAGAAACAAAACATGAAGGGGAAAATAGTTAGTGTTTACAAATTACAGTATTGGGTTTGTTTGTTTTTTTACTGGGGTTGTGGGAAAGGGAACATTAAAAGCAACATGGAGATGACTGGACATGATCCTTAAAAGATCATCCCCTTCAATTCCACACTCAAAGTCAGAAATCTGGTTTTAACTTCAGTGAGAAATAACTGATCTGTCTCCATGTCTGTGTCATTTAGTGCAGGTAAAACTTCCCAAGATCAGAAAAATATTGTATTGGGTGTTAGATAGCAGGAAATGAAGGAATTTGGTCAGTGGAAAAAATAGGTTAGCTGTTTCTCCAATCTAAATAAAATCATCCCATTGATTGCAAGAGGAGATGAAAAAATTAAAATTCCTCTAAGGGGATGGGGAGATACTTGTATCCCGCATTTCCATCCTTCAAAAATACAGTTGGCAAAGCATTAAGATATTGAATGCTCTTTTGTCAGAATATTCTGATGTATACATAAGATTGTATTTCCATATCACTAAGCAGTTCAACAAATTTTTGTTCATGCCTTCAAGTCAGTTTTGGTTTCTGGTGACTGCCTGGACACTTCCTGGCAGCTTTGTTGGCAAGATTTTGGAAGTCCTAGGTCTGAGTGACTTGCCCAAAGATCCCTGCTGACTTTATGCCGAAGGCAGAACCTAAATGCATGTTCTCCGGGTTTCTAGCCTGATACCTTAATCATTCTCTAAATGGCATGTTTTTTGTAGCAAGAGAACCAACCAATAAGAAAGAATCCTAATTAATATATTTATTACTCACCTGCTGTGGTGAAATACTTTTGTTGCACTGCTTCAGTAAGATTAATCAGGAATCAATGAATCCCATGGATCCTATTTCTGACTCCTTTTACTATTGGTATTTTAATAACCATGAGTTCAACTACTTTAAGCTATACCCAGAGTTAAACTTGGTTAATGGACTTCGAAGAAGCAAGGCAGAAAGTAGGGTATCAGAATAGAATGAACTTTTAAACGTTGATGTTGGAGAAGACTCCTAAGAAAAAACAACTGATAACCAAGCAAACAAACAAATGGATCAAATCAACAAATCAACCCAGTCAAGGTGCAAATAACCAGATTCAGAGTATTATATTTTAGACATACTATGTGAAGAGCTGGAGAAGTCTATAATGCTGGGAATCAAAGACTATTAGGCAGAGAGAAACCTTGGATGTCCTCTAATCCAAGAAAAAATAACAGGAAACAAGGGGGTGATGAGCATCAGTGTGGATTGACTCAATTATAACAGCAATATGTACATTGTTGGAAGACCTGAAGGACCAGGTTGGGAACAGATCCACCTGGATATGGTGAGTAAGAGTTCATACCATCTTGATGGCACATAATCAAGTTAAATACAGTTGAAGACATAAACTCCTAAGTGAAATTAAACGCCAACCTACTTTCTACTTTAAAGTAAGTTTATCAGAATCCTTAATTAAGTAGTATACAGTATCATCCTTAATTATGTAGTATACAGTATCATAGAATCATAGGGCTGGGAGGGACCTTGGAGGTCTTCTAGTCTAGCCCTCTGGCCAGGGCAGGAGTCCTTATTCTATCCTGTACAAATAGTTGTCCAATCTTAAAACCCACCAGTGATGGAGCGCCCAAGACTCTGGGAAACAAGCCGTTCCATTGACTAATTGTTCTCACTGTCAGGAGATTTCACCTTAGTCTCAGTTTGGATCTTCCTAGGATGAGCTGCTATTTATTTCTCCAAATGCTCTGAGACTTTAGAATCCACACAGACAGACACCTGCCACACAACACCCCAGACTTAATAATTGTCCATATGAAGGACAAAAACGTCTGGATAGTAGATGTGGCAATACCTAGAGATAACAGAATGGAAGAGAAAGAACTGAAGAAAATCACAGAATACAAAGACCTGCTAGCAGAAATAGAATGGCTGTGGCAAAAGAAAGCAAAGATACTACTAATAGTAATAGGTGCCTTTGATGCAATCCCAAAACAACTGAAGTGCCACTTGAACACCATCGGCATTGACAAAACCACCACCAGTCATTTGCAAAAGGCAGCTTCACTTGGAACAGCTTACATCCTGTGACAATACCTTTAACACCATCAAACAATGCCATTTGCCTATTCCATGTCCTTGGGAAGGAATCAATAGGTGGCTACAAATGGAAAATCCAGTCTAAACATCTGGCTGATTGTACAACAAACCATAATGTATTGAACGTTTATAGGCCTTTGGCCCTGTAGGCAAGATGCCAATTTGTCTCTAATTTAAGCATTTAGTGCAGGTTTGCCTGTTAGTTTGTTTAATTCTGCATATGTAAAAATTCACGCCAACTCTAGTTTTTTTTTCCCATCATGCTTCATCTGACAAGTTTTGCTTATTTTCTATCAGGTTTAACAGAATCTGAACTCTCAACTGAAAGAAATCTGAATATTGCTTTGAACAATTGCCTTCCTGTAGTTTCTTGCCACCATGGGATGTTCCCGGGTATGTGTCCAGTATCTAAGTACTGGGATATTAAGCATTCATTTTTAAAAAAAATATTGTGAAATATTTCATGTGAGCTGATTAACATACACAATGCATTTTGGTCAGGAATATATAGTATAATAAAATTGGAGCAATTGTATCTGGTCAAAGGAGCAAAAACAGAGCCTTCAGTTGCACTATGTGTATTTTGTCTTCACGTCAGTTTGACTCCTGGTGTCTGATAGACTATCCCCTGTTCTTTTCTTCCTAGGCCTGAGAAAGTCTGATTGGCCCAAAGCCACCCATCTGGCTTTGTGCTTAAGATGGGACTAGAACCCAGAGTTTCCTCATTTCTTGCCTTAACTGCTATACCAAATTGGCTGCAGTACCATTATTTTGACAGGTCAGCCTCTGGTTCCATTTTGTATTTTAAAAAAATAATAATTAAAAGAATGAGAAGCTGCCATATTTAGGCTTTCTGGCAGCATCTTCATTTATTCCAGGAATAACTATAGATCCTGAATCGTGCAAAAACTTTTTTTTTTTTTTTTAAAGTATGGTGAGCTGCATCTTAATGCACATTTTGGAAGTATACCCATATCCAGAAAGAGGATACTGTAAGTTAAAGCATGGATAGTAGAAAATGTCCTGTGGAAGAGGGTGGAGGAGGGGTAGCATTCTGTTAAATACATGCTTTCCAGCTGGCTCTGTTCCCATGGCAGTTATAAGTTACCTCCCCTCATAATCCTTTATGAGAATGCGCCTAGCTTCTTACCAGCATTCCAAATGTGTCCACCCACCCTAAAAGATTGAATACCCCAGACTGAGTTCCTATGATAGGATTCCATCATAGGATTCCAACTTCAGAGGGTGTAACATAGATCAGATTTCTTTTCCTGTCTCACTACAAAATACTAGTTCATTTCTACGTCAAAATACTTCAACAGTAAAAAAAACAAGGGGGAATCTGAGTACTATGAAGCGTGGAATAAATTTTATCAGTGATTGCATAGAATAAGGCAAGATCGGAACATAAGTAGTTAGAATGAACAGAATAAATAGTAAATAATGTGTCAAACAAGATTATTGTAAATGGTTAAGTAATATTTATGTATGTATAACAATTGTAATGCCAGAACGGCTGTATTGTGTTGTATTCTTATAATTATAAATAAATAAATAAATAAATAAATAAATAAATAAATAAATAAATAAAGAAAGAAAGAAAGAAAGAAAGAAAGAAAAATTGGATAAAAAAATATTTCAACACAAGAGAGTCTGTAACTGAGGTGTGACAAGTGGTTGGGCACGGGGATCAAAGAAGCCACTGGGTCCATCTGGCACCTCACAACCACAACTCCCACTCTGACAAAACATTCAGATTAGGCCTGAGGTCTGTACAATTGGAAAACTAAGGTTAAAAATCACAGAGTTGCCAATAAGGGGAAGGAGAAACATCATGGCTTTTGCATCCTCTAGTTCTAGTTTCTCTAGGTTCTCTGGAGGTAGGAATCATTAGCCAAAAAAATCTGACTCTAGATTAGGAAGTTTGAAAATTAAAAGTTGCTATCTTTTTGTATGATCTATGAAGACTTGTCCATCTGTGGTCAGAAACCAAGTATCCAAAGAGTAAAATATCCCTGAAAGAAATTTGATCATCTGCCTTTGCTACGACCCATTACGAGTAGCCCTGAATTAACAACTGCCCTGTTTAGTGACTAGTCAAACTTACAGTAGTGCTGAAAAGTAAGTTCACAGCTGGTCCTCATAATTACGGCAGTCATACTGTCCTCCTGATCTTGTGATCATGATTTGGGCACTCGGCAACCAGTGCAATTTACAACAGTTAAGTGTCCCGCAGTTATGTGAGTGTCACAACTGGCTTCCGACAAAGTCAATGGGGAAGCGGCCAATAAGTCACAAGTCACAATGACATGACACCTCCCTTAATGACCCCAGCGGAACTGAAGTTGTAAGTCAGGTGTGGTCACATGACGTTTCACTTAACAATCATGTCACTTAGCAATGGAATTGCCAAACCCAATTGCCATTGCCAGTCCTGTCAGCATGATGGCCTTGAATGCATGGGAAAAGAGGTGGGAAAATTTCCTCCCATATATAAGATTAATTTAGAATCATAGCCTCCTTTCACTCCATTTTCCGAAAGAAGCTCTGTACACCATTTCTGATTCTCAGCTCTTCTCAGATGGAACGTCCCTCATTATGTAATAATAATCTCCCATGGCAACATTCCAAGAAAAGAAATAGGCACCAGAGCTTCATTCCGTACTGAATGTATGTTTGCTGCCTATAAAATTAATAAAGGCAGAATAAATAAAAAAATCTTTAAAAAGTTACTTTTTTGCTAATCCCACTGGAAAATGTGGAAGACGAAGAGCATAACAGAGTTTGTACATTTCATGGAAGCTTATCTAACGGTCGAAATGGTAATTTCTATGAATTTGGGTAATTATGCTAAATTAGGCTAAATTTAGTATGGACAAAGGGTGTCCATCTTTGGCAACTTTAAGACTTGTGGACTCTAAGAATTCCCCTTGTCTACATCAAATGTGTAAATAGAGAGACTACTTCAATGATAACTTGTTTTTCTTTTCTTCCTTTGGGCAAAATCTGGCCTGTGGCAAAGATTATCTGTGTTGATGCACTGCGGCCCCTGGCATCAGGAAGCTTTGACTGTGAAGTCACTGTTTTAATTTCTCACAATTCCCCAATATGTTACTCTGTCAAGTCACTGTGGGAAATTTTAGATGGCTTGCCAGACTGAGGCATAACTGCTTTCAGATTTGTCCACTGTCAGGAGTGACCACCAAAGAGTAGTCCGGCCGGGGGTTCTTAGTGCTGAACTTAATCTGAATTACTAGCTGTAGACGCTACGAAAGGCCACATCTGTACATAATCTGCTTTATTTTGTTTACATAATTAATCTTCATTTCCCCCCCCCCCCCCAATATGTAGCCTATGCATAGGCTTTAATCCAAGCTTACTGTAAGTAGTACTAGCATACATATATAATATTCTTGCACAAATTGCCAAGAGGATTGTCAGTTAATATTGGCCAGTTAGTTCCCTCACCAGTGGTAAAATATTTCAATTGTTCTTCTTCAGAGGTTCATGACTCATAGGGAAATTGATCACTAGTTTTCAGAAATAAAATATTTGTTAATGTCAAGAGAAATCTATTGAATATGCAGGAATACCTTTATTATTTTTTACAAATAACTCAAATTAGCAAACATATCCAATATACATTTCTCCTCCTATTTTTGCTACAACAACCACCATGCGAGGTGAGATGTGCCAAAGTCATCCAGTTGGCTTTCATGGCTAATTCATGGTCTCTTGCTTTCTAGCCTGGTTATTACTAAAAAACCTCATTTTTTAAAAAATGCAGTTCTAATTCTACATTGTTCTGCTTTTCTTTAACCATTTTTATAACATAGGTTTTTTTTCTTTATATTTTTAGAGCTCACACCGAGATCAGTGGAAGAATTTCCTGCTCCTCCTCCTCCCAAAATAGACAAATATAAGCTTGCAAGATTTTTAGCAGATAAAGCCATCAGGGTATATTTAATAGCAATATTTTTGAAATAATATTTGTATTGTAGCATGTCTATCTAATTTTTGGAATGAAACCATTTAAAAATATTCCACAAACATAAGAAAAAGAAAAAAAAATTGCATTGAACAAATAGACATAAAAGTGAGAACAGGGTTGGCTGCAAAATTCTTCGCCCTCTGTTTAATGTCTATATTTTTCATTCTTCTAAAAGGTTTTTAAAAGCTGGGATCATGCCAATACATTAATTTTCAGTGACTTTAAAGTGATTCGAAAAGGAATTTTTCCATGCATTTCCCCAAGTTTTCAGATATGTCAAAATTCTGCAAGACCTAATTAACTCAGAGATGACCATGGGAGAAAAATAATATCTGTACATCTATTGTAGGATGGTTTGATACAACTGTTGTTCAAAATTCTTCAAGTTTGCTTTCTGCAAACTGCCAGCGAACGGCCATTATGTGAGGTGGTACCTTGATGAGCCAGTGTAGTTTGGCTTTGAGGTCTCATTCTTCAGCGACTCCCTTCAATACTTTGCTAAGGTCATGGCCTCCGAAGTAGGTTTGAAAAGATCTAAATGTCCTAAGTATCGAATGATACCATTAGGAAATCATGTCAATATGTCAATTCTCCTATAGGAGCATGTAGCTCTCCTTGGCCAGGAACTCAGCTGTAGACTTCCAAGTCAGAATTGGATTCTTCCTTGTCCATCTGAGATTCTTCTGTGTGTAGCAAAGGAGTATACTGTCATAATGAATTGGTGACAACAAAAGTATCATTGTGCCCTCTGCCACAATACAGAAAAACTCAAGTTTGTTTCCAGATTATTATCTGTGAAAGTTGCATGTAGGTCAGGCGAGGGAATCTCTGACTCTTCTTTCAGGTACTGCTGAACTATAAAATATTCCTCACTGGCCATTAGTCTTGGGTTGCTGGGAACTCCACTTTAGCAGCTTAGAAGTCCACAGAGTCCCCATTCCTATTTATAGTTAATTCATAGTACAGTATCTATTATTATTTTCTTTTCTTCAACACAGCATGATTTCTTCTCCATTTGTGGTGTAAGAACCAGAGTCCTTCCCACTCAGCACATAGAATTACCTTATTTTCTGTGATGATTCTCAAGTACAGGTAGTCCTCGACTTACAACAGTTCATTTAGTGACTATTCAAAGTTACAACGACACTGAAAAAAAGTGATTTATGACCATTTTTCACACTTAGGACCATTGTAACATCCCCATGGTCATGTGATCGAAATTCAGATGCTTGGGAACTGACTCATATTTATGACGTTTGCGGTGTCCCGAGGTCACATGATCCCCTTTGTGTGAACTTTTGACAATAGGGAAGCCAGATTTTGGGCTCAATTGTGGTCATAAGTCAAGGATACCTGTACTATAGTTCCTCCCCACCTTTATGATTACCAATCAGCCAAACCAGCTTGCTATGTGTTCTGACCAAGGCTTCCGAGACTGTAATTAAGCACACACTTAGTTAAAATAACTCTTGTTTTATTTCAGTGCTGGGAATTATGTTCATTCCCAGCCTGTAATGAGTCCCAAACAGTCCCTCGAGATAAGCACCCACCTTTCTCTCCTTTGAATTGCTGCCAACAACAAAAGTGCCAAATGAACTATAAAAAACCAACCGGAGTACCAAGTCCACACAGAGCTTCAAGGATTAATCCAAACGGAACGAACAACTTTGCTTCCTGCAAAGGTTTCTTCTCCTTGGCCTGTCCTTATGGGAGGGGCAGTCACCTCCCAGCCTTACTCCCGAGTCGCCCCTTTTGTCTCAGCTGCTCTGGCCTTCTAGCAGCTCTGTGCACACGCGCACTGGGAACAGGCTTCCCTGGTTCCTCTGCCTTGCTGCTGCCAGACTCTGGAGGCTCTGGAGTCAGCACTCCACTCCCAGATGGTCCTGGCCCCATCTCTGCATTGGATGCAGGACCCTCACCTGAGTCCTCATCTACCCCCGGACTGGTCCCTGTTCTTCCGCTACCGTCTGCACAGGCTGCCTGCGAACCACAACACCGTCTTTCTCACTTTCCCTTAATACTTTCTCCTTTGTGGACCATGATCTCATCCACTTCACATGAGACCATCTCTGGTTTTGAGGATTGCTTTGTGTCTCAGAATCAAGAAGGCCCCTTGTTTGAGAGCTATTTTTTGGTTGAGTCTTTTTAGAGTCCTCATTCTGATAGTTTTTCATGTGCTGACATCTCGGAAAAAGAAGAGGATACCTATCAGCACATCGTTTTCATATCTTATCGCCTGTTTGAGAGGCTGCCATGTAGTCCATCTTTTGTAGATGTCTGTTCATATTTTCACACACAAAAATGGCATAAAATGCACAATATACTTGCAGACATCTAGAGCTAGCAACACTGATAACAAGGTGATGTTGATGGCGCCCAACCTGGAAGTTGATGTGGTTTAGATTGGAGTCATGTGTGGCCTAACATCCTTTGAGGCAGATCCAGAGATGTCCAACAGTTGTTACCAAAAGGTTTTGTGTGTGTGTGACTTGGGGTAAATTATTAACCATCTCACAGAGAGTATATTTATTAGGTTTAATTTTAATTAAATGTACATTTTTACATAATCAATTTTAATTAAAAAAAGAGGAAAACTTACTCAAATTAAATTTTTGTCCTGGCCTACTATTTAGCTTGATAAGCTACCCAAGTCTAATGGAGCCTCCAGCCAATTGAAAGCAACATTAATTTGCTTGGAAGCATTGAGAGCAATACAGTGATTCTACACAGTATGGTAAAAGGGGTTAAGATGACAGCCATGATACTGCAATCAAAGCTTCATAGTTTTTTTATGTGCATCACAGTTTATTTTGAGAGACCTTTTAAAAAAGTAGCTAAATACAGAGATGAAGAACACACCACTGCAGACATTTTGTTGACTATTGCTTTATGTTAACATCGGCTCTGAAACCCCTTTATGATTTCAGGAAAGGAGAATTTTTACCATCTGTGGTCCTTACCCAGTAATTCGCTCTTGTTTAAGAAAGAGAGGATGGGTGGAAAGAAAGCATATTCTTAAATTTGACATTCCGGACCATAAAGATGAAGGGAATGAAGCAGAATGTGACAACGGTGTTAAAAATGGTAACAGATCTTTTAATTATGTTTTTTTCCTTGCTTTTTATTTGCTTAGAAATGCATAATAGTTGGATTGAATTTCCTGTAAAAATATGTTTTTCTCCTCTACTTTTGGGGTTGCTAAATTTTAATGCAGATAGGTGTCATAGATATGTGAATTATTTGAGATTTATATTATGTCCATGTACTTTTTCAGATGTATTTCCTTCTGTTGGCTCTAAGAAGCCAAGAATTGCTAGTTTCTTATTTAGTAGTATCCCTTGATGATAACTTACCTACTGTGAAGTTACAGAATGCTCACAATTATTCTAATTGATGAAGAGGGAGAAGTACCAGTCAGGGAATGTTGTCAATAAGTGCAGTTGTTGGAAAAATAAAAGGTTGGTTAAGATCAACTTAACCTATGGACAACACACTTTGTATGCTGTTAGTGGAAATGTTTGTTTTTAACCATTTAGTCCTGTCTTCATTCTTGGTGACTTTATAGGCAAGTGCTTTCCGTGGTATCCTATCAAGCACAACTTCTTTCAATTGTTGCACATTCAACTTTGCATCATATTTGATGTTATTAACCCAGCATATTCTTCACTTGCCCCTTATTCTTTGTCCACTAAACATTCCTAGTATCATTGCCTTCTTCAACGAATACACATGCATAACATGGCTAAAGTAAATCAGATATAGTCTTTTGATTTTAGCTTCTAATGATGTGTCTGATTGTATATGATTTAACACATCTCTATTACTGTAGTTACTCTCGTTGTCCATAGTATATGCAACAATTTACACAGCAGCAGAATTCAAAATAGTGGAAATACCTTTTATATTTTTCTTTAAATGAAGCCTACTTAATTAGTAGAGTATTTTCACTATTTTGCAACATCTGGGTTGCACATTTGCTCCATCTCTTTGCTGCCTTTTTTGGGGGGGCTACAAATATCTAGGAAATTTGGTTCTCTTCTGCTCAATGTTAAAGCATGTAATATCCATTTCCACTTTTACAGTAATGACTGTAAGTGACATTGGTTTACAATATAAAACTGAATCTGAAAAATTCTTTTTCACTAGAAAAAAGACTTGGTGTGGTAGGGGCAACAAAATTCTGATTATTCTATCTCATGACTTGATTCTTCTAATAGCATTTTTTGGAAATAATACTGAAGTAAGGCTTTTCATAGTTGGGATATAGCTTTCAGAACTTAAAAACATTTAACATATGCTTCAAGGCACAGGTGGTATTCAGCAGGTTTTGACCAGTTCTGGAGAACCGGTAGTGGAAATTTTGAGTAGTTCAGAGAACCGGCAAATACCACCTCTGACTGGAGATTTTACAGTATTCTTCCCCTGACACACCCACCAAGCCACACCCACAGAACCGGTAGGAAAAATTTTTTGAATCCCACCACTGCTTCAAGGTTCTATTATAGGCTAACCTTATTTGAATCTTACAGAATTTTTAATTCACGACAATAATGTATTTTCAATATGCTTTGCTGCAGCCTATTCAACTTTTTGTATTTTCTTTTTAAGAAAGCAAGACAGTATTGCATGAAGAAGAAAGTTTAAACAATTCAAATGACATCCATGATATAATGGTAAGATTATAGAGATAATCATGTTATTGTAAGTTTTAGTATTTTTGTCAGTACAGAAAGTAAATTCTCAGCCCCACTAACTCAGATAAACAGATAATCAGAGTTGGAAGGGACCTTGTAGGTCATCTAGTCCAACCCCTCACCCAAGCGGGAGACCCTACACCATTTCTGACAAATGGCAGTCCAATCTCTTCTTGAAAGTCTCAAGTGATGGCGCTCCCACAACTTCCGAGGGAAAGCTGTTCCATTGGTTGATTGTTCTCACTGTCACAAAGTTTCTCCTTATTTCCAGATTAAATCTCTCCTTGTTCAGTTTCCATCCATTATTCCTTGTCTGGCCTACAGGCGCTTCAGAAAATAGCTTGACCCCTTCCTCCCTGTGGCAGCGCCTCAAATATTGGAAGACCGCTATCATATCTCCCCTGGTCCTTCTCTTTACTAGCCAAGCCCGGTTCCTGCAACCGTTCATTGTATGTTTTAGCCTCCAGTCCCCTAATCATCCTGGTTGCTCTTCTCTGTACTTTTTCTAGAGTCTTAACATCTTTTTTATAATGTGGTGAACAAAACTGGATGCAATACTCTAGGTGTGGTCTTACTAAGGCTTTATAGAGTGGTGTTAGTACTTCCCTTGATCTTGACTGTATCCCTCTGTTAATACAATTTAGGATTGCATTGGCTTTTTTGGCTGCTGCTGCACACTGCTGGCTCATATTTAGCTGGTTGTCTACTAAGACTCCAAGATCCCTCTCACAGTTACTGCTATTGAGCCTGGTTTTACCCAGTCTATATGTGTACTTTTGGTTTTTCTTGCCTAAGTGTAGGACTTTACTTTTCTCTACATTGAATTTCATTTTGTTAGATACGGCCCAGTGTTCTAGTCTGTCAAGATCCATCTGGATCTTGAGCCTATCTTCTTGGGTGTTAGCTATTCCTGCCAGTTTAGTATCATCTGCAAATTTGGTAAGTTCCCCTTCTATTCCCTCATCTAAGTCGTTAATGAAGATATTGAAGAGTATTGGGCCTAAGACGGAACCTTGTGGCACCCCACTGCTTACTTCCCTCCATGTAGACTTAGACCCATTAAGGACTACTTGTTGAGTACGGTTTGCCAGCCAGTTGCGAGTCCATCTAATGGTGGTGCTATCTATTCCACTTTTTTGTAGCTTACTAAGAAGTAGGTTGTGGTCTACTTTGTTGAAAGCTTTGCTGAAATCTATATACATTATGTCCACATAATATTTTGCTGGTCTACTATTTAGTCACTGTGTTGAAGAATGAAATAAGATTGATTTGGCATGATCTGTTCTTAACAAACCCATGCTGACTGCTAGTTATTACTTTACTTGTTTCTAGATGTTGGCAGATCTGTTTTTTTATTATCTTTTCCAGTATCTTCCCGGGTATTGATGTTAGGCTGATTGGTCTATAGTTTCCTGGGTCTGTTTTTTTTTCTTCCTTTTTTGAAGATGGGAACCACATCAGCTCTTTTCCAGTCCTCTGGTAGTTCCCTGGTGCTCCAGGATTTTTGAAAGATATGGTGCAGTGGTTCTGAGATGACCTCTGCCAGCTCCTTTAAAACTCTGGGATGTAATCCATCAGGCCCCAGTGATTTGTTTTCATCAAGATCAGACAGGTGTTCTCTTACTATTTTTTTTTTTTTTTGCTTATTTTAACTTTTATTTCTGGCCTGTCTTTTACAGTTATGTTTTTTGTGGGTTGAGCTATAGTTTCTTTTTGCATGAAGACCGATGCAAAGAATGAGTTAAGCAGTTCTGCTTTCTTTCTGTTGCCTGTTACTTCCTTGCCATCTTCTCTCTTTAGTGGACCGACTGTTTCCTTGATTTTTTTCTTGTTATTTATATGTTGGAAGAAACTTTTTTTTTTATTATCTTTGACTTTTGTTCCAAGTCTTTGTTCGTTCTGAGCCTTTGCTATCCTGACTTCGTCTTTGCAGATTCTGGCTATCTGCTGATATTCTGCTCATGTCACAGCAGAGGAAAAACAACATATATTTTAATCCATCTAGTCTAATCCATCATGGTACTCTTATTCAGTTGGTCAGCAAATCACATGCATTTAAGTGATTTCATCATCACACTTAACATAGCCTCTATGGGCTCTTTAAAAATGAACAGTTCTTCATATTTCCACACAAAAGCTGTTGGGCAGTTTTTCTGCCTTTCCTTTGAAATGATTTTTTCAGTGTGGAAAAGTAGAGAAAAAGTAGAGGGGAAGATGATTCAGTAGGGTTATCAATGGAAAATTAATGTGTAGGGCATGTGAATAATTCTGTTACTACCGTAAGATAGAGCAATTGTACAATAAAAGGTTGGTATGGAAGTTTTTCATGAGAATTAAATATTTTGGGACCAGGTCATTATAAGACTGTTAACTTCT